TGAATTTCCATTTGTCTGAATAATTTTGTGAAACAATCATTGTTAGTATTAGTTACCATCATAAAAAGCTAAAGTATCTCCAAATCATTACTTAGCATCATAAAAAAAATTCATACACTTCAATGTACAAAAACAATAAATTAAAAACATACCAACACATCACAAAAAAGAAATAAATTAAACACATTACAAATTAATGTAAGTAATTGTTTCTTATATCATAAAAAGCTAAAAGTTGATGCATCTTACAAGAATATCATAAACTAAAGGGAATAATAATTCAAATGCAACATAAACATATAACAAGCACAAAATAATGTAAAGATCAATTGTTTAAGTTAGCATTCCACATTGATTGAGCCAACTCATCCCTCCATGTGGTCCACTCCTGAGATGATTCAACAACATCAATGTTATCTTGTTGATATTCTACTTGTTCTTCCACATCGATCTCTAAGGGATCCACTTCCATCTCTCTACGAATAAAGTTGTGTATCAAACAACAAGCACTAATAATCTTGTTATGTATCTTAACCGAGTACCAAGAAGGGCTTCTAAGAATTCCCCAACGTCCTTTCAAGAGACCAAATGTCCTTTCAATAACATTACGAGCTCTAGTATCCTTCATATTGAAAAGCTCTTATCGGCATTAGGGTGGTGGATTTTCATCTTGCCAATCCCTTAACCAATATCTATATCCTCGGTAAGGTGAAAGAAAACCATTTCCATTTGTATATCCTCCGTCGCACAAATAATAATTACCTATAATATAAATAAGAAATTAGTTGCTTTTATATAGCATTATTTTTGTGATATAATTTTAATGTGAGCATATGTATAGCATTACCCTCGGGAATTTTCAAATCATTCGTTCGAGCTATAGCATTTCGTAATACACGAGCATCAGCCGCTGATCCTTCCCAACCAGGTAATACATAAGTAAAATTAAGATTTTTATCACAAACTCCTAGTACATTAGTTGCTATTTCTCCCTTTCTTGTCCTGTATCTTGGTTTGTCCTTAGATGGAACTCTAATTTGAATGTAAGTACCATCCAATGCACCTAGACATCCCTATAAAAAAATTATAACATTATCTCAAACAACAAAAATTTCTTCGTAAAATTATATTTATTTTACTTTTACATAAATTAATAGATACCCAATTGAAAGTGCATATACCTTAAACCATCTCCATCGATCGTCAAGCTCATCTTCAAGCACCGGTTTGGGGTTAACAAGTAACAATGGAGCTAGTTTTAGAATAGCTTTCAAGCATTCATTGAAAGCTTGACTTACGCTCCAGCCTGATCTAATATAATCAACCTTAATGGATCTATTCTTCTCATGATGAGCCAAAATATTTAAAAACATTGCTAACTTTTCACTACTTGACATATATTTGCTATCAGTCAGACCTCCAACTTCCTTAGTTAAGAGAACTAAAGTGTGAAAAGAATTTCTATCCATCCTTAACTTATCAATACATGTTGTGTCACTATCTTGTACAATACAATTTAAATGAGATATAATTTTAGGAACTCGACTACTCATAAGGTACCTAATCACATGCCTATTTCTTTTTATAGAAATACCATGAATAACCATGAAAAGAAAAATAAACATAACAAGAAATTGTTGGCACAATATCTCCTCAAGGATGATAAAACATTCAATATCGGACTGTAGTTGATGATCCATAAGAAACCCTATTTTTTCATTAAAAAATGAAAAGAGTTAATACACAAAAAAAAAATAATTAAAAAAGAATCAACGAGGGCAACTTTATAGTGAGGACAACTTGAAATTGTTTACAAATATTTCAAGCACATAAAAAGAACAAACTTTTTTCAAAATGTACAAAACCCCCAACATAACATTCAAATTTTTTTTTTGATCTCTTCCATTAAATAGAAAAGATGAGTGTATCCAAATTATTATGCAACAGATCAGAGAATTATTAATAATGACAAAGAAAGAAAAGAGAAACAAATTCTGGAAAAAAAAAATTAACCTTGTTAGAAACTTGAAAGTTGAAGGTTATTGGTAAAGAAGTTCTTCAATCACCCATCTATGGCTTCAATCGAAAATGAAAAGTTGAGTGTACCCAAATGAAAGAGTGATTCTTACTGCAATGAAGAAGAGAAGAAACGCAACAGATCAGAGAATTATTAATAATGACAAAGAAAGAAAAGAGAAACAAATTCTGGAAAAAAAAAATTAACCTTGTTAGAAACTTGAAAGTTGAAGGTTATTGGTAAAGAAGTTCTTCAATCACCCATCTATGGCTTCAATCGAAAATGAAAAGTTGAGTATACCCAAATGAAAGAGTGATTCTCACTGCAATGAAGAAGAGAAGAAATCTGGAAGCTAAGACCATAAGCGGCACTTGTGAAAGCTTATCAATTAAAGGGTTTGAAGGGTAGTTTTGTCATTTAATAAATTTATCCCATCACAAATTGTGATGGGATTACTATACCACCCTTTTGGAGGGATAACTTATCTTGGTACTATTTATTAATCCCAGGATAAGTTATCCCAAACTTCCCAACCAAACACTAAATTAAGTGCCACTAAATATTTATCCCAGTACTATTTGTACCTATCCTTCACACCAAACGACCCCTAAGGAGTTTTTAGTACTTTGACGGCAAGCTGGCGCAACAATTGTCATCTACTTCATAAGCATGTTTTTTATATTGGTAATTCATTCCAACTTGAAAACTGAAACTATCTTTGGCCTTGCATCAAAGATATCAACATGGTTTCCCAAGCCTGCTATCATAACAGTACGTAACAATTGTAAAGCATTATCTTGACACATAATTTTCTGTGATATCTAAACAGCTGCGAGCAGACATGATTAGAAAGATAATTAACGATTACTGTTTATACATCACATCTACCGGAGTATGCTAATACGTGATGTTTTGTGCAGTGGGTTGCCCCTTTACTATTTATACAAGGACCTCATAAACTTTCTGTTTTACTTTGGGAGGTGAGGTGAAAGTTAATACTTTTTTTATTAAGATCTAGCTTTCAAGTTCAGGATGAATTGAACTTGAGTTGGTCAGCAGAAGACCTGCAAAACTATCACTCTAATTTTCTTTAACCTCTAGGCACCATCACAGTAACATCTGTAAATTAGCACAGAACAGTAGTACGTAAGAGATTGAAGATATATATACCTCAGACAAAAAAGACTCATGTAAGACGTACAAGAAGTTGACTAATCAGAGGAACAGACGAAGGTAAGTATGAGGAGCAAGAAAAAACAAAATACACAGCCATGTTAAGAGTTAGATAGAGGACAGTTGGTGCCTTAAGAATCAACACGTCTCAGACAGAATGCTTATTGGAATGACCAAAACATACAGCCTAGTAGGACCAATCAAGTAACGACAAAGCAGCAACATGCTATATACTCTAGCAAGTTAAAATGAAGCAATACATGAAGGTGAAAACAAAATAGGACCTCAACAACAACTCTTATGACCAGCTATATGTGGACAGTAGATGTTTGATGTATAAAAAGAAATACTAGAAAAGTTTGAGTTAAGAATGATGACGAAACAGCAAACCAAAGAAGGAAGCAAAAAGGGCAATGCTCATTTTTGCTCCTTGGTAATTGTTAGTTGGAAGAGGGAAAAAATATGTGTGAGTTGTTACTGTGTTTAAACTACGTGAAAACCTAAAAGGAAACCAAATGATGGAACTATCCTTGGTCCAGTTTTTGTTGCATCTTCAATAATTTACTGTTTCAGTTGGTGGACGGTCAAACTTTAGGAGATAGATACTTTAGGAAATCTTCCGTGGAAGTAGACGCTTTAGATTCGAGCTCATTACCAAATAGAGTTGCCATGTGATGAAACGGAAGAAGAGCCTCTTTGGAGGACTATTTTTCACTTAATGATCGAGGAGAGACAGAGACAACACGGTAATGTGACGAAATTGGGAACAGAACTATCAAAACATACAACAATGGAGTATACTCAATTGAGTCAAAACAGGGAAGCCATGAATAACATTTGACAGGAAGAAAGCTAAGAACACTGTGTTTGAAGAGAATGAAAACCAGCACTGTTTCATTGATCAATGTAGCATTATATACACGTGAGTTGGACTATTCTAGAAGAATCAAAGATGTGAAAATATCCTAACTAACTAACTGCCATATAACAAACTACACTGTGACTAAGCAGCTGATAAGTAGCAACAAACTAACTAACTAACTAAATAATTAATTGGTTGTGCAGTTGTTGTAATTGTCAATACCCCTCCTCAAGTTGACGGTGATGATCTCATAGCCAACTTGCTCAGAACTGCAGCATGTTTAATACCAGTGAGTGCTTTAGTGAGGATGTCTGCTAGTTGTTCAGTAGTAACTACATGGTGGAGAGAGATGAGTCCTTCTTGCAGCTTATTACGTACAAAATGGCAATCAACTTCAATATGTTTAGTTCTTTCATGGAAGACAGGATTGTGTGCTATATGTATAGCAGCTTGACTATCACAATATACATTAATTGGAAAAGAATGGGATATAGTCAATTCAGTGACTAGTCTGTGCAACCAAACCAGCTCACCTACCACTTTCCTGAGTGATCTGTACTCTGCCTCGGCAGATGACAAAGAAATTGTTTCTTAGACTTCCAACTGATAGGGCTGTTTCCAAGCAAAACTAAGTATCCACTCACAGATCTCCTAGAATCTGGACATGTTGCCCAGTCTGAATCACAGTAGGCCGTCATAGTACAATCAGGATCATTTGACAGGTAAATACCCAGAGTAGGATCTTGCTTCAAGTATCTGAGTAAATGGAAAGCAGCCTGCAGGTGAGGAGTCCTGGGGTCCTGCATGAATTGGCTCAATTGTTGGACACTAAAAGCTATATCCAGCCTAGTGTTGGTGAGGAAGTTCAGCTTGCCTACCAGTTTTCTGTAATAGGTCGGATCAGAGATTGGAGTTCCTTCCTTGGCCTTAAGTTTAACAGTAGGATCAAGAGGGGACGAAAGGGAACTGTAATTGTAGCAATCATACTCCTTCAATAAATCCAATACAAACTTCCTTTGTGAAATGAGTACCCCTCCTGTTGTATCAAGTATCTCCAGCCCCAAAAAATAATGTAGCTTGCCAAGATCTTTAATCTTGAAAGTCTTGTCCAAGTAGACCTTAAGCTGTGTGATTTCATTAATATTTGTGCCTGTTAGAATAATATCATCAACATAGACTGCCACAAAGACCACCAATGAATCAGATTTCTTGTAAAACAATGAATAATCATGGTGTGAGTATGTATAGCCTCTGAGAGATAGTGCTTCAGTCAACTTGGCATACCATTGCCTGCTGGCTTGTTTAAGACCATATAAAGACTTATTTAGTCTGCATACGAAATTTGACTCATTCACATCAAGACCTTGAGGTACTGTCATATACACCTCCTCATGAAGGTCACCATGCAAAAATGCATTATTGACATCAAGTTGAAACATTTCCCAACCCTTTTTCACAGCACATGCTACCAAGGTCCTTACGGTAGTCATTTTGACAACTGGTGAATATGTCTCTGTATAATCTATTCCAGCTTGCTGAGTATAGCCCTTAACCACCAGTCTAGCTTTGAACCTCTCTATGCTCCCATCAGCTTTATGTTTTACCTTGTAAACCCATCGACATCCAATGGCTTTCTTCCCGGTAGGTAACTTAACCAGGTCCCAAGTTTTATTGGCATACAAAGCATCAAATTCTTGGTTCATGGCCTTTTGCCAGGCTGGACTCAGGGCAGCTTCTTCATAAGAAGATGGTTCACTGTCACAACATATGTTCTCAACCAAAATTTGACTGTTAGATGCAATCACTTCAGGAGGTATATGATTGTGTTTATTGAACAATGTGTTAAGTGATAGGGCAGCCTGGGTAGTACTGGGATTGGAAGAAGTGGAAATGGAAGGTGTTTTTAATGTAGGAAGAGATAAAACATAGTCCTTTAGATGTTGGGGTGTTTTGACGTCTCTATGAGATCTTCTTTGTGGTACTGTGGGAACATTTGGTTCATTGTGGACAGGTTGCAATGGGACTGTGGGAACATGTGGTTCATTGTGGACAAGTTGCAAAGGTGGGAATGACTGATAAGGCATTACTTTTAGTGCTCAACAAATGTGTCCATGTGGCTCTACTATAATCATCCACAAGGGTGATAAAATATTTGTAATTATCATATGTAGACACATGGTATGGTCCCCATAGATCAACATGTAATAAATCAAAAATTGCTTTGGATTGAGTGGTGCTATGATCAAAAGGTAACTTGGCCTGTCTTGCCATAGGGCATATAGTGCACATGAAAGGTTGCTTTGGGGAAAATTTGATTGGAATGGTAGGTATATTTTTCTTTTTTACAAAGGGCACATGACCAAGTCTATTATGCCATAACAAATCTATACCATTTCTAGAAGATGCAAGAGATGTATCACTTTTCAACACATTTGTATTATTGAAAGTAGATGAACAAACAAGAGTATCAGGAACTACAAAAATATCAGAAACTGGATCAGAATGAGAGTGAACTTTTCGAGTGTTGATCACATCACATTTCCTAATACATGACTCATTACAAGTTGAAACTTGAAAGGAAAAACTTTTATGAGACAAACAACTACACATGAAAGCCATATTGGCATCATCATTATTCTTCAAGCACCTTCCACACATGTAGTAAATGCCATCCTTGCTACTACCAATTACCTGAGGCCTCTTCACTGAAGGGGCCTGTAATATACAAGTTGTATCAGTGAATAAGACCATGCACTTCATCGAAGAGGATAGGGAGTGAACAGAAATAAGGTTGTACTTGAAAGAAGGAACATATAATACATTATGTAAAACAATCTTAGATGTAATGTATGCATTGTTGACACCAAATTTTGTCCCTCCTTTCTTCTAA